GTGCAAGTTGCACTCCTTGCCATGACTCCTTGCAATGACTCCTTGCAATGACTCCTTGCAATGACTCCTTGCAATGACTCCTTGCAATGACTCCTTGCAATGACTCCTTGCAATGACTCCTTGCCATGACTCCTTGCAATGACTCCTTGCAATGACTCCTTGCAAGGACTCCTTGCAATGACTCCTTGCAATGACTCCTTGCCATGACTCCTTGCAATGACTCCTTGCAATGACTCCTTGCCATGACTCCTTGCAATGACTCCTTGCAATGACTCCTTGCAATGACTCCTTGCAATGACTCCTTGCAATGACTTTCATGATGATGATTCCTTGCAATGACTCCTTGCAATGACTTTCATGATGCTGATTCCTTGCAATGACACCTTGTAATGACTCTCATGAGAACAACTCAAGTGAACCCAGCGGAAGAACCCTTCGCCATGCTTTCGGGGAAAAACCTTAACCATAAACCCTAACTATTTTCATGCTTAAATAAGCATATTTAAAAACTTAAAATAATATTAATGTAAATATTTATCAGCGTTCTACTCTGAATTTAAAAGCCAGCTTCAAAGTTGTTATTTCACTCAATATGTATATATGCTAAAAAGTGTTTTAAACAAATGCCCATCGCTATTTTGCTATCAATCACAAGTTTCGGGTTTATAGCCCTAACAAAATATATCGAAACTTTAGAATTTGAGTAATATCTATAGTTCATTCTAAATTATGTATTTGAAATTCTATTTCTATATCCAGAATATATATATATATGTATAGAATAAAAAACGGGTGTGTTTAAGGAAAAGAGACAAGTATCGCTCTATATTCTGTGGAAAATCGGGAAGTCAGGACGCAACAGCCGAGCTAAGGTAAATGTTAGGGAAGTAGTTTCGAGCCACACGTATCATTCGTCATCCACAGTTCTTGGACGGGTCCTCATTTGGCAGCACTGCCTGGCAGAACATGCTCAACAATGGCCCAAAGGTGCAGGATGTCATCCGTCCGCAGTAGCATTTTTGGACGGGCGGGTGGAACACATCAACTGGGTCAAGCAACAGGCCGCGCCTGGCAAACCTTTAAAAGGCGTCGCAGCAGCACGGCGTGATCACGGATTCCAGCTTCGTCCAGCGGATTCTTGGCAAACAACAAATATTGTGACTGGTCTGTCCTTCACTAGTTCGGCCAAAAAACCGAATTTTGCTTGTTGAGCCTCTCTGCCACATTCTGCACCACTGAGGGGCCATTGCGGTTGCCCTGCCGCACCCCCCCTCAAAAAAACAACAGCAACAACAACAAACAAACAAACAAACAAACAAACAAACAAACAAACAAAATACAAACAAACAAACAAACAAGATACTTCCAACTGTGGGAAAGGAGCGCTGCCTCTACCAAATAGGGCACATCACCTTGCCACTTTCTGGCTCCCATCACTATGTCCATGTAGGCCTGGCTCATCTGTCAAGCACGAAACATCACGAAACTTCACCAAATGCAAACCATGCACCTTGCTGGCCTTCGCATACTCTCGAGCCCCTCAACAGGAGTGCTGTATGTGATGTCAGTGCTGCCAACAGCATCACGGGCAGCGCCCGGATATCCCACAAAAACCTGAAGGACCAAAAGACACATGTCTTGGGGCCAAGCCAATGCAGCTGCAGAACTCCTGGCACGGTCAAGCGTTTCACTCTGAGCCTGCCCGACGCACACTCAATCGAACACGGGTAAGGAAAACCCACATGTTCGTCCAAATATGGAGCAAGAGAGCCTAACCCTGCTCCACAAAACGAGAAGCGTGAAAACCTGATTCTCGAAGCACTTGCTTCGCCAAAAACAGCGGCCGAAGCGCTTGCACATCTAACCAAAAGCGTGGACCATGTCACGGGATGTGAGCGCGACGGGGCCCCCCAGCCGCACGCCGGCTGGCATGCTGCATTCCCCAAGGGAACAAGCGAAACGTAAAAAGGAAAAACGAAGCGCCCAGGCACCAAGAGACATTGATGCCGGCATCAAGTCTGCCACGGCCATCTTTGTCGCCTTACAGGCTCCCAGATATAACCGTGAGGGGCGCTTGACGCGAGCGGGCCGTACCGTTTTCCTATGTCGGCGTTTTCAGAGGGCGCTTGCGCCTCCAAAGCTCAAGGAGTGGGCTTTGGTTGCTCTCTCGTGCAAAGAGCGAGGCCAGCCATGGATGACGGGGAAATTGTGTTCTCAGTCGATGGCGCCCGTGCGCTGCGGTTTGCTGGGCAAACGAATAGGCTTCTTGTCTTCTGAGCTTTCACCTATGAACCTGACGGGATCGGACACACACGCGTGATTTCTCAACTCCCAGGTTTTGTCTTGTCAACAGGTACAATTCATAAGCGCGCAAGTCAGCTCTAGCAGGTGCGAACCCATAAGAACTCAACACTGGGTCTTGGATGTTCCACGAACGGTTTCTTCACGCGGCCAACCTGCATACTGACAACACGTTTCTGCAGGAATCTTGCACAAAACCAAACAGGACTCGTCGCGCGTTTCGCCCTGCCAGTAGGTCGGCCTGTGTAGGCGACGCATGACTTGACATCTTGTGTCTTGTGAGGAAAACTCCCAAGCGATGTCCCCTTGCACCGTGTAAACACAGGGAGCGTGATTGCGTGTGATTCCACTGTGGTTCAAGCAGAGCAACGAGAAACAGCGCTGGATTGCGGGATCGCTCTGCCCGAAAGCAAGTCAGCTAGCTAGGCTCCCCTTCAGGACCATACTACAACAAACGCCACTCAATGGCGACACAATGAACGAGAACCTTGAGCTGTGGGCAAACTGAGCTGAAAACAAAGCGGTCCTCCAATGGCTTTGTGAGCTCTGATGGCCCCCGGTTGCCCAACCGTTGACAGAATTGGCGCACCTCGTGGCGCGCAGAACTTGCTCCTCTTGTTCACATTTGCAACGCAAGCCGGCGTGCTTGCTCGACAGCTCCTCTGGCTGCTTGCTCGGACAGAAGAACCTCCAACAAACGCCGCCGAATGATACTCGCGGCAAGCAAGCGGCATGAGTGAGATTCCGGCTTTTCGAGCGTCGGGCTCAAGAAGATGCGCTTGCTTGGTCAGTGACCCGTCGCGCAGCCACCTCAGCACACACGTGTGGACATGGCTTCCTCGCGTCAGCCCTGCTTGGCCGCCAAGCTGAAGCCACTGGCTTGCCAAGTGCTTGGTTGCGTGAACAATGAAGCCTCCAACATGCAAGGCGCCAAACAAGTGCATACTCACTCACGCACTCACTCACTCACTCACTCACTCGCTCACTCACCCACACTCTCACTCTCACTCACTCACTCTCCACTCACTCCCTCTCACTCCCTCACTCCCTCCCTCACTCACTCACTCACCCATCCACTCACTCACCCTTTTCACTCACTCACTCACTCACCCTTTTCACTCACTCACTCACTCACTCACTCACTCAGTCAGTCACTCACTCACTCACTCACTCCCTCACTCACTCAGTTACTCACTCAGTTACTCACTCAGTTACTCACTCACTCACTCACTCACTCACTCACTCACGCACTCACTCACTCACTCACTCACTCACTCACTCACTCACTCACTCAGTTACTCACTCAATTGCTCACTCACTCCCTCCCTCCCTCCCTCCCTCCCTCACTCCTTCACTCCTTCACTCCTTCACTCCTTCACTCCTTCACTCCTTCACTCCTTCACTCCTTCACTCCTTCACTCCTTCACTCCTTCACTCCTTCACTCCTTCACTCCTTCACTCCTTCACTCCTTCACTCCTTCACTCCTTCACTCCTTCACTCCATCACTCCTTCACTCCTTCACTCCTTCACTCCTTCACTCCTTCACTCCTTCACTCCTTCACTCCTTCACTCCTTCACTCCTTCACTCCTTCACTCCGTCACTCCTTCACTCCTTCACTCCTTCACTCCTTCACTCCTTCACTCCTTCACTCACTCACTCACTCACTCACTCACTCACTCACTCACTCACTCACTCACTCACTCACTCACTCACTCACTCACTCACTCACTCACTCACTCACTCAAACTCACTCACTCACTCACTCACTCACTCACTCACTCACTCACTCACTCACTCACTCACTCACTCACTCACTCACTCACTCACTCACTCACTCACTCACTCACTCTACTTACTCACTCTACTCACTCTGCTCACTCTACTCACTCTACTCACTCTACTCACTCTACTCACTCTACTCACTCTACTCACTCTACTCACTCACTCACTCACTCACTCACTCACTCACGCACTCACTCACTCACTCCCTCACTCGCTCACTCACTCTTTCACTCACTCACTCACTCACTCACTCACTCACTCACTCACTCACTCACTCACTCACTCACTCACTCACTCACTCACTCACTCACTCACTCACTCACTCACTCACTCGCTCGCTCACTCACTCACTCACTCACTCACTCACTCACTCACTCACTCACTCACTCACTCACTCACTCACTCACTCACTCACTCACTCACTCACTCACTCACTCACTCACCTCACTCACTCACTCACTCACTCACTCACTCACTCACTCACTCACTCACTCACTCACTCACTCACTCACTCACTCACTCACTCACTCACTCACTCACTCACTCACTCACTCACTCACTCACTCACTCACTCACTCACTCACTCACTCAATCAATTATTCACTCACTCACTCACTCACTCAGTCACTCAGTCACTCAGTCACTCAGTCACTCACTCACTCACTCACTCACTCACTCACTCACTCACTCACTCACTCACTCACTCGCCTCACTTTACCTCACCTCACACGTTTCACTCGCTCTCGCCTCGGGTTCCCTCACCTCTCTCACCATCCACTCTGCCAAGGATATCAGGACACCTCCACAACGTGAACAGCAGGGTAAAAGACAGCCCGATAGTACCTTGAGCCTGAATTCCGATCAAGCTTGTTCTCTCTTGCAGTCAGCGAATACGCCAATCAGCGAGCACGAGGCAAACAAGAAGCTCAAGCTTTCAGATCGGAGGATCCGGGTTCGCTGGGTAATCAATTGACATTCACAATAGCAGCGCCGGACAAGACCGACAAACCGTTTTAGAATGCTTCATCTTCTGCAAAAGCGGGAAAAGGTCCTGTTCTGTATTGGTGCCACCCTTGGTGTAGCAGGCTTACGCTCAGATCGGTGCTTCATCTTCATCGCGTGCAACTTTGGCGTGGCCTTGGTGAGACCCGCGCGACTTTCTTCAGACGGCGCTGATGATTCGCTCCGATGCTCTTTCCTTGAAGCTCACACTTTGGCGGAACCAAGGGTGTCTTTGAGATCTTGACATGATTGTGATCTGCTGCGGTCTCAGACGCGCACTTCTTGAAATCTTGGTCAAGCACAGTGACACTGACGCCAAACGAGTCAAATAACAGAAGCTAAAATCCGGCGAAATTTCAACTCTGGCGACATGACTCGAGTCACGAGCTTACGCCCCAGCACGCAAACATAGCTTCTGACAGCCGACACCCTCAAATGCCACGGGCCGTACGCGAGCCACACATTGTGCTGCAAGGTGGCTCTACAAGACTTCCATGATCAGCTCATCTGGTTTGGCTGAGCGTTTTGTGAGTGAATCTGCCAGGCAGCCCTTGCTGCGGACATGTCGCGCGCTTGCCCGCTACCTGCCATGTCTGACCACAGCCCTCGTCAGAAACAAAGTTCTGCGACACTTCTTTTGCAAGGCTGTTACGGTCATCTTGCGCGTCCCGCGCTCAATCAGGAGCCTTGTAAGTGTGGAGACCTGAAAAACGTCACGTTCTTCTGACGCCTTTGCTGGTTTTCCCACTTTGAGCGGCCAGGAACGCACACTGAGAGGAACGCTCTTGGTTCTTCTCGCAGTCTTGTTGATGGCGCGAACATCTGCCATGGCCGGGGTAAGTGCGACGCGCCTGTAACAAGTTGATCTGTCGCAACACACTCCCGAGCGCGGCGCGCATCTGCTTCGTCCACGGGCAGTGGCAACGTTCTGCTGCACGTTGATGCGCCGGCCCGGTTTGTCATCTTTCTGCCATTGAATGAATTTGTTGTCCGACGGAAAGGCAACCATTCATCTTCTGAATTAGTTTTCTGCTTTTTCCCCACATCTTTGTGTGGGGTTCTTACTTTTACCGCTCGTCGTCCGCGCGCCGCGTCTCCTTCTCCTCCTCCTCCCGCCCTCCCTCCTCATCACTGTCTCACTCACACTCACTCACGCTCACTCACACTCACTCACTCACACTCACTCACTCACACTCACTCACACTCACTCACTCACACTCACTCACTCACACTCACTCACTCACACTCACTCACACTCACTCACTCACACTCACTCACTCACTCTCACTCACTCACTTACACTCACTCAACTCACACTCACTCACTCACACTCACTCACTCACACTCAGTCACTCACACTCACTCACACTCACTCACACTCACTCACTCACACTCAGTCACTCACACTCACTCACACTCACTCACTCACACTCACTCACACTCACTCACTCGCTGACTCACGGCAGCTGTCTAGAGGGACAGGATGTTGTCGCGCGCGCGGCGGGGGGTGTGCGAAATCGTGGCAGGCGCAGCACTTTGGCGATGCCGTTGCCTCTGTCGTGGCAGGCGCAGCATTCTGTGCATCTGGGTGTGTGTTTGTGTGGCAGGGGTAGCATTCGGCAGCTGTCTAGAGGGACAGGATGTTGGCGCGCGCGCGGCGGGGGGTGTGCGATATCGTGGCAGGCGCAGCACTTTGGCGATGCCGTTGCCGAAGTCGTGGCAGGCGCAGCATTCTGTGCATCTGGGTGTGTGTTTGTGTGGCAGGGGTCGCATTCGGCAGCTGTCTAGAGGGACAGGATGTTGTCGCGCGCGCGGCGGGGGGTGTGCGTAATCGTGGCAGGCGCAGCACTTTGGCGATGCCGTTGCGAAATCGTGGCAGGCGCAGCACTTTGGCGATGCCGTTGCCGAAGTCGTGGCAGGCGCAGCATTCTGTGCATCTGGGTGTGTGTTTGTGGGGCAGGGGTAGCATTCGGCAGCTGTCTAGAGGGACAGGATGTTGGCGCGCGCGCGGCGGGGGGGTGTGCGAAATCGTGGCAGGCGCAGCACTTTGGCGATGCCGTTGCCGAAGTCGTGGCAGGCGCAGCATTCTGTGCATCTGGGTGTGTGTTTGTGTGGGAGGGGTCGCATTCGGCAGCTGTCTAGAGGGACAGGATGTTGTCGCGCGCGCGGCGGGGGGCGTGCGAAATCGTGGCAGGCGCAGCACTTTGGCGATGCCGTTGCCGAAGTCGTGGCAGGCGCAGCATTCTGTGCATCTGGGTTTGTGTTTGTGTGGCAGGGGTCGCATTCGGCAGCTGTCTAGAGGGACAGGATGTTGTCGCGCGCGCGGCGGGGGGTGTGCGAAATCGTGGCAGGCGCAGCACTTTGGCGATGCCGTTGCGAAATCGTGGCAGGCGCAGCACTTTGGCGATGCCGT